GGTACATCCACCCCTTGTACCTCCCGAAAGGCACCACTGTCGTGCCCGGGGTGTGGCGTGACTCGCGCAGCAAGCGCATCATCAATCCCCTCGTGGGCTTTGCCGGGATGCTGATGTTCTCCTTCTTGGCCTCCTCCACCAACTGCTCCAGGGTGAGCTTGCTCAGCCCCTTCATGCGGTCCTCCTCGTTGGGTTTCTCCAGCTCTCGCTGCTCCACCAGGATTGACCGCAGCTCCGGCACCGTCCAACTGGAGTGCACAGGGACCCCACGATCGTTGAGCTCGATCAGGAGTTCCTGCTTCTTCATGTTCCATGGCGACGGAACTTGGGCAGGCATCCGTGGTAGGGGCAGCAGTCGTCAGGCACGTCACGTGCGGCTTGATCTTGCTGAAGCGGCTGCGACCGATCCAAGGGCAAATCATGAACTTCTCTTCACTCTCAAAAGACTCTTCTACCTTGGTGACTACCTCAATGCCTTCAGACAAACAGGGGATGGCTTCCGTTGTGCGATGTCCATCAAGTCGTTTCAGCAAAACATCTTTCAAACCAAGCAAACGTGTATTCCATGAAGTGGGTGTGAACAAAGTGCGACGTGGAACGACGTGGATGCGGATGAACTCAAATTCAGTCTCAATCCAAAAATCTCTTGAATGCTTTACTTGCTTCCACCAACAGAAGTAGCTCGCCCCACCGAGGGGGCTAGGAGTGCTCAACATGTTCTCGACCTCTTTGGAAAGCACCTTGGGGTAAAACAAAGGTTGCAAAGCGGACGACTGCGCAGCCATGTATGCCTCAATGGCGGGCACGTACACTTCTCCGGTGTTGTCACCGGTCACAAGTGGAGGCTTTTTGCCGTCGTAATCGTTCACCAGCAGAGCAGGATGCCCCGTGGGGCTGGTGTACAAAGCTATGTTCTCAAGGTGCAATGCCCGGAGGTTCACCTCCTGCTTTTCCAAATCATAGGTCATGCCAAGAGCTCCAAGCACTGGCCTGCTCAGCAGAAGTGGAACTGCGCACGGAACAATGGCCACTTTGACCAAAAACCATTGTCCACAAACGGAAAACCAAGCTAACACCCCGAAGGTGGATGTATACACCCGGGATGCTCCAAACTTGAAAAATTCCTCGTGATCATAGGTGGTGGTGCTGAATCCTAAGGCGTCAGCCATGTCGCAGTAGGCCTCGAACCAACCATGGCCGGCCACCGTCTTGGTGCACGCTGTGTCCACGATAGCCAGGAGGTTGCCCTTCACAAAGTCCGCAACCACGGTCTCCTGGCTGTCCGTGACATAGCATTCATGGACACAGCTGCACATCTGCGCTGAGTGGACGTTCATCTGAACGTCATGGGGCTTTCCCCGATCACCTCCGGCTCCACCCGCTCGATCACGAAGGGGACACTCAGGGTCTTTGTGCCAGTGACCTTTTCTTTTGCAGGCCGAACAGTAAGAACGTTGCTTGGCCAGCTTGAGGCGCTCTTCTGAGCTCTTGCGAACTTCCTCCATGTCAACTCCTCGGCCGCGAACCGCCTCTCTATACTTGGCCTTGGCATTCTGGTAAGTCATGTAGGCACTGTGGGCGGCGGCGGCCACATCTTCGGCCACCAAATCATCTTCCTCAGCGGCTTGGGAGTCTCCCTCACTAGACTCTTCCACCGCCTCAGTCATGTGTACGGAGTGGCGCTGCTGCCACTTGTCACTCCTCTTCCAGCCGGTGTTGCTAAAGTTGCCCCCAGCAGGTCGTCTAGTTGACCGGTCCTGGATCAATGCGGCCTGCTGCAACTTCTTCACGTCAAACTGGTTGTTTACGCTGGAGAGAAGGGAAAGCTCTTCCTGCTCAGGGAGGTGCAACTTGTCCAAGTACAGCCATGCCTTGATGAGCGGTGGAAGTTCACATTGCACCTCATGTAAACGAAGGACAAGGCGTTCAAACTCGACATTGAATTCTCGGACCGGTTGTTCCGGCTTCCTCCTGCATCGCTTGAAGAGGTCCGTCATCATGGAGGAAACCTTAGTGACTTCCACCTCCATGAAGCGAGTTTGAACCCACTCCAAAAAGTAGGAGACACCATTCTCTGTTGCAAGGATGTCCACATCCAACTCCTCAGCATAGACCCAGGCCTTCCCGCTGAGCTCGTTGTAGAGGGCGAGGGCTCTTTGGTCAGGAGGCATTTTAGTACACCTCAACCAAACCTGCACCTTTCTCACATACGACCGGGCCGTGCGGTCGAGATCGGCCTCCGAAGTGCACTCACCGTCGAAGCCGGGCACCACTAGTTTCTCCGTTGCCTTACCTCGGCCACCTCTAGGGTCATCCCATTCGTGGTGATCAGCCCATCGTCCCCCAGCGCCGGTTGGCTCAGTGTCATACGAACCAGACCAGCGACCATTGACCACAGCGGTCGTCCTGTCTATTCTAGCCGTGTTGAATTGTCTCATTTGATGATCTGTCAACCAACCGTCGGTCGAGCCGCTCCACGGGTCACCTCCATCGCCCCACGGATCGCTCGGGTGTCCAGGGTCCTCCCAGTCCGTGTCGTTCCATTCCCATCGGTCGTGCGACGGGGTGGACCAAGAAGCATGCCGAGTGTCACTCCCATCGATGGCGGTGTCCTGTGTCCTGAGCAATGGCGTAGGGCGCCATGCCGGTCTCCAACCGGCGTTCATCATCCAAAGGTCCTCCAAATCGACCAGACAGCTCCGCAGCACCAATGTGAAAGGCCCTCACCGAGGGGCAAGCAAACAAACGCTCATGGCTCCCTTTTCCTCAACCTTACGAGACCCTTGTGCCTGAAAGGTCATCGGCCAAGGGTGGCAAGTCGTGCCATGCGAACATGTCGGAACAAAAAGGTGTGCTTTTACAATAATAGCGATTGTAGAACAACCTGACCTGGCGAACCGACCCCAATGGACCCCGTCTTCGAAGACTGAGGTGCTGAGGTGTTTTGCAAGAATCCTCACTGAGAAGTAAGCTGATGGAGGGGATGTTTGAGAGCAAATTGATGTTTTCTTAATGGTTTGGCTATGTTTGGTTTGTGAAGTAAGTATTATGGAGTAGAGTTTTAAAAAAACTGACATGCAAAATTGCAAAATATTGCAAAATAGATCCAACACGTGCACAATTCTCTGTCTTTTTCCCATGTTTTCCCGGAGCCCCTGCAGTTCCCAGATCTTCAGCGTCCTGCACACTTGGATTTGCTGTTGAACCGGGACAGTTTTGGTCACAAAATCTTCCCTTTCAGTCCCTTAGGGTGGTCAGAGGGAGGAAAAGAATCCCCCCAAGCACGCGAAGCCAGTTTGAGCCACACACATCCAGGGACCCTACACCGCATTTCAGCCAGCTCTTTGGAGATCCGAAGAAACGCCTTCGGTTCTTGCAGGTCGAACACGGGAGGAGGCGGCGTTTGTGGCGTCTTCTCTCGTTGCTTCTCGGTTTGAAACACGTGCCTGGACGCATGGGCATTGTACTCCAGCAAGGACTCTTCAGTACCTAAGACCTGAAGCTCCCCGGAGCGAGAGAGGAGCCACACTCGTGCGGTTGGAGCCCATAGAACAACATCCCAAACAGAAAAATCCAAAACCCGAAAATCCTGGTCAACAGAATTGAGAGCCGGTTGTGACACAAGGAAAGAATCCTGACACTGGCATTGGAAGGCAGCTGGGAGATTCAACCAGGCGATGGCCCAAAGCAAACAACATCATTTTTGAACATGTTTGTGCGTTTTTGTTCGATGAATTTCCCACTATAGCGCAAATCAACTTGAGCCAATCAGGCAAACCAGCAATGGCGCCATCAAAAAACCCGAAAACCCAGAACCATCCAGAACCCCTCTCTCTCTGATCCTATCGTTGCCCAGTTTCGCAGCTCCTCTCCTCTCCTTCACGCGCGATCCGCTCGACTGCCCGGCCTTATAGACTTGGAGCTCTTCGGGAGCCAAGGTGAACTCCTGCCATCCGACAGACGTTGCGGCCGCGCTTCGTGCGAGACGCCAGCCCCTGCGAAGCGAGGCCATGAGGCCATCTTTTGGTGGCTCTGAAAGGCTGGCAAGGTCGACTGTTGAGGCCGGGAGGCCAACAAACGAAAAACGCTGGACTTCTAGGGAAGAAGAAGTCCAGGTTCTCCATACTTGGTGCAACAATTGTGAATGAGCCCGGGCTACAACTACACTGCTCCACATGTTCCATTCAGTAGCAAGGGTGCTATTAGCTTGGAGGTATCACTACAGTACTAGGGTCGACACCATCGCTAGTAGTTTGAAGGCCATCGCTGGTATAGGTTGGAGGCCATCGTTAGTAGGTTGGAAGCAACTGCTCGTTAGTCGACCACTAGGCTTTCCCCACTTTGCTTGTCTCCCTTGTCTCCCTTGTCTCCTCGATGCGTACATCATCGGATGGCATCAGGGGGAGTCGAGCGGGCGGAAGATGTGAGATGTGAGCGGGCGGAGGTGCTTGCGTCCATTGTCAACACCATAAGTGATGTGTCCACAAGTTAAGAACTCACATAAGATCTCACATAGCTTTTGGGTTCTTGTCATAAGCTCAGATGTCAACATATTGGCAAATGTTAACATGAGTGTGTGGCAAATGATGTCAACATCCATCATTATGTTGAGCTGGGCTGAAAATTCTTAAACTTGGTCATAAAGAAGTGGAGGCGTTGGCGGCATGTCCTCATCACTGGTAAAGCTCAACGAGCCGCATCCCACGAATGGTTGGCTAACAGGTATAATCAGGTATATAGATGTCGGTGCTTAAACCTATACTGTAGAAGCTTCTGTGCGTCTGAGTCAGATTTGCAGTGCCATTCGTTCGGTGAACCCTTGAACAACACGACGATCTTCGCAGAAGCCTTAGAAGGCGTCTTCTCAGCGATGTATCCCCAGCCTTTTCAGCTTGAGCCCATCCAAAAACATGGTCTCATCCCCAAACTCCAACTCGACATCCATCCCCATCGCACGTCGGAGAAACCACCGGGTTTCTCCGGCGGCGGTGTTCTTCGGCCTCGCGCCGGGGCCAAGCCAGCAGCGCCACCAGGCTACCGCTCAGGGCCAGCACGCCAAAGGCGCTGGCCGCAGCCGGAGTGCTCAGCGACCTGGGTGGGTGACGGGAGTGGAAGAAAGGAGCTCGAAGGAGCTCAGCTGGTGAAGAGTGGTGGGAAAAGCTGAGTGTTTGTGACAGTTGAGACATTAAGGGTGGGTGAAAGTCGAGAATGATCATGGGGAATATATTAAATATGAGTCTTGCGGATCCAGACTGTTTGGCAAGAGGGTGGCGATGTTGCCAGAATTTTGGCCAGATCTTGGTTCATCTAACTTATTGAAGCTCCTGGAAACCGGACTGTTCATTGGCAATGGGGCTGCAACATGGTCTGGCATCACAAAAGCAGAACATACATGTTCCCCCGTCACAATCTTCCACGGCTGCACTGCTGCATGCATAACCTTTCATGCAACTTTGGGCACCATGTTGCTACCACAAATTTCCCCAGGAATAGGGCAAATATACTAATGCATACTAAGAAATACTCAGACTCATACCACAAAATGTCCAACAATCCAGCCAATTTCATCAGCAAAGAACGAAATGATACTCGAGAATCCTTGACTCGACGTTCTGTTCTGTGGGGCTCGTCGGTCTCGGTCGCTCATCTGTCGGCCAGGCCACGGGAACTGAAGTCTGCCAAGGCTTGGCCATGACATTTGCTTCAGCTGCCTTCCTTGGAGAGGAGAGGAGAAGGCCATGACCAACTCCTATTAGGCCTATTAGGTATCAAACATGACGTACATGTGCAAAGAGCAAAAGTCAAAGACCTCTAAAGACCTCAACCTTCAGCTTCTCACTGTCCAAGTATCGCATTTCCCTCGCAGCCTCGGCACGCCCGAGGCGCACACGGCGCTTGAGCTCCTCATCAGGTTGCCTTTGTCCCAGGTGCCCCAAACCGCTGTGCCAGGCTTGCCCCGCAGGCTTGGGCCTGCGCCGGCGACACGCGCAGCCAACCTACCAGCCATGGCCTCCAACCTACCAGCGATGGCCTCCAAC